TTTGGGGAAGGGGGGGGGGGAATATGAAGTGATTCCGCCGCCTCTGGTGCAACGTGATTGATGTATCGGGACCGCACGTTCATCACGTGAAACGCTCTTATTTAGAACCGCAACAACGGGAGGGAAAAATGGTAGGGAATGAGGAGGGGGTACCAACGATTACCAGACGAGGCGACCTTGATCCGGATACCATTACGGGCACAGTTCCTGATCCCTGAAGAGTAACTATCGCGGTTTTTTTAACGTATGAATAGAAGAATGAACCAAATCCATAGAATTATTGTTATTCAAGTGAATCTATGCGTTATCTTCCGGTTGGTATTAAAAAAAAGTGCAAAAATAATAATTGAATCATAATTTAACTTTTAAAATAAAATATGTGTAGGGAGCAATTTCTGATCACCTAAATCATACGTCTGTATCTCACTCTGAGCTGTTAAATTTTACGTACAAATTTCGGAATGGTTAATAATTATTTAGTAATCTCTTGCAAAAAAAGCTTGTCATATTAACTTTTCGGGTCCCTTATTTTTTTTTTTTTTTGCAACCGATCGACACAATTTTTCGTTTTTCCACCGACGAACACTAGGAACGATAAGAATCGTTGCTTTTGTCAAAGCGACACTGAATTAAGTCCTCGCGACCGATAATACGAACGCGGGAAAGACGTGTACTTTTTCATTTGTTTTTTTTGTCGAAGGCTACATTGATACACGACGACACACCGGGATTTAAAGCAATCAGTTGAGAAGGTTTTTTTCCTCGACGTATATGCAATTAATCCTCTCGCGATTGCGTGCGATTTCGAGACGTTAGGAACTTAAACTGCGCTTTAGAAAGCAGATAACGAGTCGCGCGATATAATTCATAACAAGCACAATCGGTAACCTTCGCGTTACGAAACATCGTCTGGAATCTGCACCGAAGCGGATCCTGAATCGGCACGGTGACAACGTCGAAGCTGCCACGGAAAAATCTCTGTGTCCTCCTAAATCCGAAAATTGTATGGCAACCCTTGCGATATGACACGGTTAATTAGTCGACACGAAAACAGACGTATCCACATTAGTCTTTGGTATGTTGCATCTGAGACTCGTAATAATAATAATAGTTTCCTGACAAGTCCTAGCAAAGTTACATCGCTGTCAATTGAATAATAATTGATATTCTTGTACGTGATTTGTATGAAAGTAAAGGGAAATTATTCGTGTATCATGTAGCTCGAGTTAGAATCGTCGAAAGCTGCAGACTTTTAATTGGCACTCAAAAAACGTAAGACATGCGAAAATTAGGTTCTGAGAAAAATGTACCTAATATATTTTAAAGTCAGTTGCATATGTGTCTTTATTGTTTTTTGGTATATAAGTGGTTTTTGATAAAAGTGTTTATTAAGATTGAGCTTGAAAAATGTTACGTTTGAAAATTTTAGTGTCTGTTTTGAGAGAGCAAAAAGTTTGGGTACATCTATTGCACTTTCATATTCCACATCCAAATTTGAAAACCAGAATCAGAGTTTTATCGATATACTCTGCATGCTAATTGTTTTAATTTCTGAAAAATTGTATAATTACTTTTATAAACCATTCGAGAATTTATGTTCCACCACTAGATATCAAAGTTTTCAGTAATTACTAAAGCAAAGTGGTGGAGCTCCGTTAGATTTTAGAGTCTTCCTATCCTGACAGTGCTTACGAGTCCCTTACAACAATTTTAACTTTATCACTCTGTCCTTTGAAACCGTTAACCCTTTACCGATCGAAGAAAGTGCACAAACGAAGGTAACGAATCGATGGTCGGACTCGATACCCATTCAATTCTGTCAACGGAGATAAAAACGAATTAGGATCGTAAACGAAAATTACTGTATCCATTGTTTCTTCCCCTCCTATTTTCCGTGATCTTCGATGCGCGAATCAATCTTCCTCGTGTCATTTAAACTGATAATGCTTGCGGTAAATTAATCTGTGTTTTTTTTTATATAACCGATTGATCGCACGGACGAGCCACACACACACGAACGCGCGTGTGGTTGTGTGTGCGTCGAGTGGCAATCGAATATAAATTGGCCCTCGGGAATTTTTCGTTCTCGATTGAAGTGGTTGCACGAAAGATAACGAAACGTACCGTAAACACGCATGATCGTTGAACATCCATTTGACGCGGTGATTAATTAAATGACAGCGAAACATCGACGGAGACCGACGCACAATTTAAATCCTTGCATCGAGACAGCAAATTTGCTACGAACAACTAGCAGATAAAATGTAAACGGCAAATTTTCACGGTTACAAATTATATCAACGAACCTCGAGCGGAAATGTCAAGGTATAGAAAACACTTTCAGAGTTTTTCATCTGCAAATGGAAAGATACTTCGTCTTACAGATATTTCTCCTCGGTGTATAACGCGACTTGTATTTTCGATAGACGATCCGGAAGAAAGGCTTTAATGTTTCGCGGCCCGGGACAAAGTTTCGCCGAAGAAAGCTCGGTGAAGTTTCTTCTATTCTGAATATAAACGTCAGACAATTCAGGCACTTTGAAAGGGTGAAAAGATATCTTTTGATTCTCTTTACGAGAATAATTTTAAATGAAACGTCGGTTATTCACCGAAGGCATTGTTTTGCGTCCTCCAAGAGGAAAAAGATAAATAAAACAAAAATAAAGACACAATAAAATAAATCGTTAATATCATAGTAAATAAGAGATAATAAAATAAGTCGATCGATTAAATGAATCGGTTAATTAATCGAACGATCGTGTAATTGTTTAATAAAGGGAAATCGAGTGGACTTACGAAGGGAGCTCCAGACGACAGACAGGCCACGAAGAGCGGCGACCTTCAATGATCGAAGCCAACTGAAGTATGCCCGTCGTTTGGTGGTGAAATTGGGCAGCGCTGTCATCACAAGGGAGGACGAGCACGGATTGGCGTTGGGCCGTCTGGCCTCCATTGTCGAGCAGGTCGCCGAATGCCAGAACGAAGGTCGCGAATGCATTATGGTAACTAGCGGGGCGGTCGCGTTCGGCAAACAGAAGCTCACCCAGGAACTGTTGATGTCCTTATCGATGAGGGAAACACTGAGCCCCGCTGATCATACCCGGGAACACGCAGGTACGCAAACACCTGCGAACGTCAATCATAATATTAAACAATCGAATGTCCTCGGTTACCTTTAAACGTTACCGTTTGCCCTCAACGAACGTAAACACTGTATCATCCGAAGGTCACGTTTACTCGAGATGTCTTCGGTGTTTTTTTCTTCAATTTGGACTGATAAAACAAAAAAAAAAATTGTAATCGTTCGTAGACGCTGATCTCCAGGGACCTTGAACTAGAAAGCGCGATAATTAGAGAATCATAAATTTGATACTTCTTCCCGTCAGCAAAGAAACAACATGCAGTACACACACGAGATAAGAATCCCAATTGAAGAAATCTTCTTCCTGCAAAGTTGTATGTAGAGTACAATAAAACTTTCGTTGATACACGCACGGATAGGGGACATTCGCGAAATATTCTTTAGTATTGTATGCGATACGGATTACGGTAGGATGAAACAAACTCTTCGAGGGAGTTTCTTTTATTTCGCGGGTGTACACGATACGACTCCGAGCTGGATGCCCCGATGGTAATCCTAGGCTTTCAACGCATTCGCCCTGTGAATTTCATTTTTTGGTATATTATCAGCTAACTGCAAATTGGAGTGTACACGATCCCACCGGTTTGCGCCTTCACCCTCGCCGGTACCGCGATATTCGCTTCTTTGTATCTCGCACACGCTAATGAGTTTCGAGCATGGCCGGGCTCGCTGCCACTCGAATTCAACCATTCGCCCGTGTCTTCGTCTCTTTTATTATTCCCCCGCGCAGGGGATTCGTGCTCGAACCTAGGCGCTCCATTAATTAATCATAATTACGGGTCACGGGGACCGACGACGGACACACGCAAAACACGAAGAATAATTCACGTACACGCGTATTTGAATTGTCCGCGATCAATCGATTTGCCGAGCAATTTGAGAAAGTTACCGCGATTAAAGCCCCTCTCCTTCGAACCTGCACAAATTCGCCAAATTAAAACGTACAATGTCCTCTCGTCGAAACCAGCAGACTTTCTTGCAAATGAAGACAAATTAATCGGACCAGATTACGGTTTAATTATGCAGCAGGTACGATTTTAATTGAACCACCGGAACAACGTCGACGTTATCCATGATATCCACGCGTGTTTCTAATAAGAATATATTCTAGCGAATTCGTAACAATATACATTGTCTACTGCAGGTTTGGAGATGAATAGAAACACTGATCTACATCAACCCTCCATGACTCCGTGTTATCTTTACTGTGTCCGTCATCTCCCTGGATCTTTTATGTCCAAACCTACTTTTTTTTATCTTATAGGGTTCTATAAAATCCGAAAAAATTCAGGAGTACTTCCCAGGGTTTATACATAATCGAATAGTTTTTAAAGTTGAATAGTAAAAGGTCTTTTTTAATAGCAATCTCTTCGTTTCGGATACATTTGAATACTAAATTTCGCATGTGCCATAAAAGACCCAGGAGGATCACAAAAGATTAATTAAAGTCCTTTCTTCGAGTCAAAATTTAACACGTTAATCACATTCATCGAACCAATAAGATTCTTTCGTCCAATTTTGGTTATGCGGTATCGAATAAAATATTGAAAAACTATTACAATCCATAAAGATGGTGACGAACGTGTTAAGAAAATTCCTACGATTCCTATGTTTAATTTTAGCGATGTGTTTGCCAAAAAAAAGGGATGTAAAGACCATTTAAAAATATTATTTCACGATCTATTTGAGTCTGTGTAACGAAGATGTTCTACAAGCTCGTGAATAAAGGAACGATCAATCGCTTACATTAAAAAAAAATCATACTTCCCTCTAGAGAATGAACGACACTTTTGTAACGTGCATCGACGCAGCCATTCTCGTTTTATTATTATTCGTGCGTATTAACGGAGACGGGGGATGTTCATCCGCCGCATTGCGTTCAGGTAAAAGAGATCGACGCGGACAATCGTTCATTTCAGCGCGTTCCCTTTGAACGGTCGAACGTTCCCCGGAGGTACTTCCGGTTATCCAACGACCTGCTCGGCAACTTGACAATGTCCGGCCCGGAACGATGTAGGTTAAACCAACAAACCGCGAGCCGCCCAATTCTTTTACCGGCAATTCCTTCGAGATTCTATTTGCTCGAGAAAACATCCCTGGTAATTCGTCTTTCGAACGCGATCGACAGATATTGTTGCGAGAAACGCCGCAGTCCTGTTTCCCCGTTAATCCCTGGAAACCATTCGCACGATGTAATCGGACATCGACGTTATTAAAAACGCGTGAAATGGACGAAATGAAAGCATCATATAATCGATAAGTGAACATACGTAAATATAAACATGTATCAAACATTTACTCCATCAACGCCTCGATTTTCATTCAGTCCAGTATTTCGCGAAAGGTTCGTGAAATAAATTTTAAATGAAGTTAATGGAAATAATAGTGAAATGAGTTACGAATAAATTCCGTCTTTTTCTATGTAAATTTCTTTCAATCTAAAACGTTCCACTTGCCGTCGTCATTAAAGCGAATAATTATTACACAACTTAAATACTGTTATTCAATCTTCATCGTCTACAGCGAAAGTTGTATGACCCGACAGAGAAGTAAATGCTGGAAAGTCGAGGAACAAATCACTCATCTGTGCCGATGATTACGAAAGTGCTGGAAATCATATTTTACAATACATGTTACTGTATTTTTAATTTTACATTGTCTCCGAAAAGGTTGCAATCTATTTAATGTGCCATTCAAAAAATTCTTTTCGTTTCGCAAATACATCATATTGAAATATAAATCGATACACCATTAAACAAGAGAAAACACTATTTTTTGTATCTTCTTTTTACTTACACCACTTTTATAATTATCGGCACCTCTGACAATAACACATAAATGCACCACACAATCTACTGACCTGATCGTATCTCACGGTACAGTAGAGGAAAGTGGTACGATAACTTTGATCTCGTTTACACGCAGGCACTCTGTTGGAACCTAGAGCAGCAGCCGCGGTGGGTCAATCGGGTCTAATGTCTCTGTACGACGCGATGTTCGCCCAGTACGGTGTAAAATTGGCCCAAGTGTTGGTCACCAAGCCGGACTTCTACAACGAGGAGACGCGTAAGAATCTGTTCAGCACCCTTAGCGAGCTGATCAGCCTGAACATCGTGCCTATCATCAACACGAACGACGCGGTGTCACCGCCCCCTCACGTCGACGAAGAGGTGTCCGGTGGCGGCGGGCGAAGAGGCATTTCTATCAAGGACAACGACTCCTTGGCGGCCATGTTGGCCGCGGAGGTCCAGGCCGATCTGCTGATCCTGATGAGCGACGTCGATGGTATCTACAATCTTCCACCTTGGCAGGATGGAGCGAAGATGTTGCACACATTCAGTTCCGACTTGAGGGGCACCATCAAGTTTGGACAGAAATCGAAGGTCGGCACCGGTGGCATGGACTCGAAGGTGAACGCTGCCCTTTGGGCACTGGATCGTGGTGTGTCCGTCGTGATCTGCAACGGAACACAAGACAAAGCTGTAAAAAGTATCCTCTCTGGAAGGAAGATCGGTACATTCTTCACGGAAACGACTGGATCGTCCACACCTGTCGAGGTCGTTGCCGAAAATGGTAACTCCGAAACACCTTTTACTCGTTCTCTATGTCGTTTAAAGTACATCGCGGGGACACATATTATCGTACAGAAACTTCCATGTACGGTTTTAACCGTTCGAGTTTTTTTTCGCCAGTAGCTTGTTGTTTACGAGAAGACACACGACGATGCATCTTTTGGAAGAAACGTTAGTGGGAAAATAAAAAAAAAAAAAGAAGTATTATCGCGTCGAGCGCGGCAGCTTTTTTTCGACGAGGGTTCGGTCACTCGCGTCATTTTGTTCTACCGACCATAGCAATATAGGTCATCGATTATCGAAGGCGGGAATGAAACCGGCTTGCTGTTGCTGTGTATCGTGGGTCTCGTTGTACAATTATCCGCGACACGTACCGCCCTCCCTAAGATATAGAAAATGTCGTATTATTCGGGGGCCGTATTTGATTCGGACTAGTTCGCCGCGACGGCATTGAGAGCTAAGTGAAAAGAAAAGTAGTTGAATATTCTCAGCTCGAGAACTTCCACGGAGAAAAATCCTCTCTTCTTTCTCGTTCGAGTTCGTATAATTTTCATCGGGTTTATCCATTAAAAACTTCTTCAATTCACTCGTTTCTTCTATTCGAACCCGAAAACATGATTCGGAAAACAAAAAAAAACTTTTGCAAATAAATATTATCCTTTCCTGTTTCTATTCAGGACGTGTTCTCGTCGTATTTGACGTTGAAACGGTAATCCGTTCAAAGGCAAACATACTAATTTTCAGCACGTGTGGGCAGCAGAACCCTCCAGGCTCTACGTCCGGAGGAACGAGCAAGCTGCATCAACGCGTTGGCCGATCTCCTCGAGTCCCGTCAATCAGAGATTCTGGAAGCGAACGCGATAGATCTCGAGGAAGCGAAAAAAGGTGGTCTGGCCAAGGCATTGTTGTCGCGTCTCTCATTGACACCCGCGAAACTGAAGTCCTTGAGCTCGGGGTTGCGACAAATCGCGGACGATTCGTTGACGAACGTCGGTCGTGTGATCAGACGGACAAGGCTGGCCGATGGACTGGAACTGAAACAAATTACAGTGCCGATCGGTGTGTTGCTGGTGATTTTCGAGTCGAGACCGGACAGCCTGCCGCAGGTAGCTGCGTTGGCGATGTCCAGTGCTAATGGCCTACTTCTGAAGGGCGGCAAGGAAGCCGCCAACAGCAATCGTTACTTAATGAACCTCGTGAAAGAGGCCCTGAACACCGTGGGAGCCTCCAACGCGATATCCCTCGTCTCGACAAGGGAGGACGTCGGTGATCTGCTCTCGATGGAAAAACACATAGACCTAATCATACCGCGCGGTAGCTCCGACCTCGTGCGCACCATTCAGGAGCAATCGAAGCACATCCCTGTGCTCGGCCACGCGGAAGGCATTTGCCACGTGTACGTGGACAAAGAAGCGGACTTGGTCAAAGCTTTAAGAATCGTCAAAGACGCGAAGTGCGACTACCCCGCTGCCTGCAACGCTATGGAGACGCTCCTTATCCACGAAAACCACATGAAGGGTACCTTCTTCGCCGACGTGTGCAGTATGCTGCAGAAGGAAGGGGTAAGTAGCTACCTGTAAATAACGAAATATTTTAATAGAATTTGTAGTGTGTATTAGTACAAGAACATCTTTAGAGAATAAGCTAATGTTTCCCCAAGATACCCATTAGGGACATACCTCCGTTTCCCACAACAGACCACGTCGTGCTTATCCTTCGTGAAACTCATCCATCCCGAAGTGCTTTGATTACTGATTACCGTGACCTAGTTTCGTGCGCCCTACCCTGTGTCGAACTTCTCAGAAGAAAAACTGGAATCCCAGATGACTTGGGTTATCGGTTGAAATTTCGACGGTTTCGCGTCCTGTCGGTTCCTAATTTTCTATGATATGCTTCAAGATCGATCCTGATAATTTACAGGTGAAAATCAATTCCGGGCCAAAACTGAGGGAGCTGTTGACGTTCGGCCCACCTGCCGCGAAAAGCATGAGGATCGAATACGGTTCCCTCGAGTGCACTATCGAGGTCGTGTCGGATCTTGACGACGCGATAAATCATATTCACAAATGCGGCAGCGGGCACACAGATGTGATCGTTACCGAGGACAACAAAACAGCCGCCCACTTCCAGAGGGAGGTCGATAGTGCATGCGTGTTCCACAATGCCAGTACACGATTCTCTGACGGATACAGATTCGGTCTTGGCGCCGAGGTGAGTCATTAAAATCGTATCCTACACGGTCGGACGACCGCGTGATTTCGGAATCGCATTTACCCGAATGTTCACGGCCCGTATTCCCTGTCCAATCAACGTATACACCGTATCCATGGGCTTAACTATAGAACTAACCGAATTAAAAAGATGGAGAACCAATGGAAAGGATTGTTTGTGCGATCGAGTCGATCGATCCTTTCCGATTCGTTTAGATTCTAGATTATAGACGGATCAATCCGTAACGCAATAAATATAAAACAAAGGATACCATGATTATGAACGTCCGAATGTCTTGTGAAGAACCGAAGTACTTGTAGCTCCAAATGCGTGGTCAACTTGAAAAGAAATTTATAATTTATTTATAATAATATAAAATTAAAAATTAGGCTCATCGTATGTATGTATGTAGTTGTTAGGAGATACTACCCAAGGAATTTTAGTGTCCTGTTTCTAAGTTAATCATCCTGTGTGTTGGTTTCATTAGAATCTTCTGATATTCACCGAATTGTTTTTTTTTCTTTTTCAAAAGGTTGGAATTTCCACTGCAAGAATTCACGCCCGTGGACCAGTAGGAGTGGATGGTTTACTGACCACAAAGTGGGTATTGCACGGTGATGGTCATGCAGCTGCGGACTTTGCCGAGGGTGGCGGTAAAGTGTGGCTCCATCAGTCGTTGCCGCTGAACGAGTCGGCATGAATTGATCCTGTCGTGTCGAACAACTTCGAAGAAGTCGGTGTCTTCGCGACACAGAAGGTTCCCCGTCGAGAAGGAGCATCGAAGAAAAATTGCAAACTTTTAAAAATCAGCATTCTTCGATCGGTCGTCGCTAAATGTTCGTGGTTCATTAAAAATCTTATAAAATAGACCTTTACATAGACGATCGAAATCTCTTCCTTGCGACGATAATATAGACAAAACTATTGTGAATAACTTATCGCGAACATAGTCAAACTCGTTCGCCGAGCTAACAGATACAAATCAAAATGTTTAAATTATTTTCTTAAAATAGTCATGTAAATCTAAATGTCTAGTTTCTTATAGAATAAGTATTATTTGTAAGAGCTACTGCCGTATGAAATTGAGTTGAACATACTTTTGGTAAGACGAAACAGTATACCGTGTAATTGATTTCGCTGTGTAGAGATAACTTGTACTCGCAAAATTATATAAAATAGAATGTCGGATCAATTTTATACATGGGTTACGAAGTTTGTTCATTTGTATTTCCCTTCGTAATTGTAGAAATACGGAGTTCGGATGTTCTCGTTTTTTTTTAAGGTGCTCTTCAAAAATGTATTCTCAATACAAAATGGAATTCGTATATGAAACGGGAGAATTGTCTGATTAGTTCGAAACCCTGCTCGGGAAGTTTGTTAATAAAACAAAAGCACGGGAGGACCTCCCCTGTTAGCAGTTACTGCAATCGTTACGGAAGTTAAGACGTCTGGCTATATTCGGTGCTTCTCCTTAAACCATCAACTCGGAAACTTTCACTTATGCTTTCCAAGTTTTTCCAATCGCAAATAGCATTGAGTCAACCATCACGGAAGTTATAAGCCACCGTCTTTTGTCTAACAATTTTACAAGCTTGAAAAAACTTTGCAATTCCAACTATTTAACTGATGATCAAAAAACAGAAATTAAGAATTAAAAATTAGTAAAAAATTGATTAATATATTTTAGGATTGAATTAATGACAGGTTATATGAATTTATAATCATTTGAAAGCTGTACAGCAATCGAGTTACGTAAAGTCGTGTATTTACCTTCAATTGTGACTTATACGCACATAAAACTGTTTGCAGTCAGACTTATCAGGAATGACGTAAAACTGCACACGGCTGGCAGAAATTTAAATAGTGTAATTTTAACAATCCGTGAATACACGGAACGTATTCCCACAGATAGTCTCTAGTCAAAAGCTGAGGCACGCAAAAGGATGTTCTAAAAATGAAAGAATCAAAACTATGAAATTAAACATAATACCGACATAACAATCGTTATCAAGTTCTATATAAATATGTATAAAGGGACAAGCAATAAAGAATACATCTTTATTAATTTTTCCTATAGTACAAAATCAAATTCTTCTTTTCACGAACGTAGCGTTCTCGTGATGATTTCATATAATTACACCTCATTCGATAGTCTTTTTACATATTTTCGGGAGCCCACAACTTGAACGTTCTGTCGTATGAGGTAGTCCCGATAAATTTGTGGTCAGGTGATATATCGACGGACATAACTTTGCCGTCATGACCGGGTAATGTTTTGAGCGGTTGCCAGGTTTTATTTGACCATATTTTAGCAGTGTTGTCGTATGATGCCGTAACCAGGTACTGCCCTTCTACCCTCTGATATTTCACATCTGATAATAAATTTGTATGTGCGGGTATTGTGTATACACAAGATCTCTTCCGCAAGTCCCATATCTTGCAAGTGTTATCTTCACTGGCTGTTGCTATGTGAAACCCATTAGGCGAAAAATCAATACCGAAAATGGACTTTAAGTGACCCTCCATAAACATAATGCATCTTCCTGTACGAAGATCCCATACTCTGCCAAAGGAGTCGTGACCACCTGTGGCACTCACACTACCGTCACATTGGAAGCTATAATACATTAAATAAAACCAATATGAAAAATTCTCTCCTCATTAAACAGAATAATGACACTTTTATTCATTGTATTACCTAATACAGTGAACAGCTCGGGCATGACCCTCTTGATGCAAAACTTCAGCTTGTTGTTCCAAGTCCCAAAGTCTCCAAGATGCATCATAACAACAAGTACCAAGAAATCGGCCAGAAGGATGAAATGCTAGCCTTGAAACTCGGTGTGGTTCATGTCCTTCAACTTCAGCAAGTGGTTCTTCGCCTGATCCCCCACTCCACAATTTTACTGTTCCTATGTACATACAATATACATATTTTACTTTATGCTGCCTTATAATTTTTTGTTTGAATTATAGAAGAAGGTATTAACATACCATCTGATGCACAAGATGCCAGTACACAAGTCTGCCCAGCTTTGTCACCTACCACCTCTTCAGTAATAGTAGCTTTTGGATGAAAAACAATGCAGCTAACATTACAAGTATGCCCTTTAAGAGTTCGTAACAGTGTACAGTCAGGTACAGACCATATTTTACACAAGCCTGACCACGAAGCTGTAGTAAGGAACTTCGAATTTGGACTAAATTGACAGAAGGAAATTGGTCTGGTATCCCCAATTTGTGAACAATAGATTGTCAGTGCTTGCAATTTCTTCAGAAGTTCTTGACGACGAGCTGTACGTGTAGCTGTTGGTAACTCTAAATCTTGTCTTGCTTTATCCAATCTTGCTTTTGCTCTTGGTAGTGAGTATGCTGCAAAATAAATTAATTAAACTACAATACATATTTAATAATAGAAAGAATTAGCTATCCCTTTTTCTACTTACTAGATATCCAAGAACGAGCTATTTGAAGAGATTCTGGTCCCTCGTGATACCAAGTGGTTTCAGTATCTCTTTCAATAGCATGAGGAGGTTTCTCTTCTTCTTCGTGTTTCTTCTTAATAGCATCCTCTCCCAGGCTCGCTAATAATTCTCTCAGTCTTGTTCTTCTATCTGCAGGCCCTTCGCCAAACAGGCAAATAGGTTCACCCAATTGCCTCAAATTTTTTTTCACTTCTGAATCATCAGTAGACACATTTATTTGACGTGCTTTCTTCCTGCGTTCGAATTCTTCTAACAGAGCCTGTCTATCTTTGGACATCTCATCTTCAAGCTCCATGTATTCATTAGATATATGTACATTTGCCAAAGTAACAGCGGCATTGAGACCGTCTCCCAAATTCGAGGGATCCTTCTCTTCTTCGGAAGATTCTGCTGCCGCGGCCAATCTTGCACGCTCAGCTTCTTCCAACGATCCATAATGAACAGTTTTCTGTTTCTTGACGTAAACCAAGTCCTCATCATCCGACATTCCGCAATCTTACTTACAACACAAGTGTTCTATGCAAAAGGAACACAAACTTAATACATATAAATATTGAAACAAAACATTACAGACAACGTGATTCTAACCTATGAAACAAAATAATACAGTCTATTTATTATATTACCTAGGGACTTCTTACGTGATATCAGAAAACTGATATACAAACGTAAATGTATTCCTGTCGAAGTTTATTTAATTAGTGTCATTCAGAAAAGTACTTCATTACAAATATGTTCAATAGTCAGCTGTCAAGTACGGATAAACACAAATATGGCCAATGTTGGCCAATGGTATTAATTCAATGTAGAAACACTACTTACTTCTAGATTCTAGACACGTCACCGTCGCATTCCAGTGTAAGTGGTATAAATCGGAACTAGTGCCCATCGTTCTTTTTGATCTTGTAGTTGAGGACAGATATAAACACTTCTGTTTTATTTTTTCTCTTCGTCCTATGTTTATCATAAATAACTTTGGATGGGAAGTTTTACATAAATTCATTTGGATTTTTTAACTTTGCAATAAATATAGGAAGTTTTTAAAAAAACTGTATGATTTGAATTTGCAATCTAATGGTTTGTAGTTCATGGTTTGTTTTCTATATTCTTATTATGATAGATTAAGGAAATTTATTATGATTTCTAAGGTTTTTATTTTTGGGTAATAAAAAAACTTGTTTAAGACACTTCGGATTGTTTACCGTTCCTCCAAATGTTTTTGGAGGGAAAGTAATCGACACTTGATGATGTCATTTCCAGGGACTGCGTCGAATCAGGACAAAGGCGGTATTTCCTACAAGCGCGTGCGTTGCGTTTAAACAAAGTGCAATCTATATCTGTATCTCACTCTATTTCATTATCTTGGAAATGAAACATCTGACTAGCGTCTACTTCAAATGCAAAACGCATGCGTCCAGAGGAAATTCCACTTTGAGGTGGTAAGGGTAGTAACTAATAATAATCAATAATAAATGTGAATAACTGACTGCGGTGACTGCAACGCAGAATTTATTCCAATTTATTCCATTTATTCGTAACCGTGACCGGTAACCATTCGTCAGTACCTGGCTGGACGCATGCGATGCCAGGTCTGTTTAGTGTAATGTACCCTCTTTTTTCCTAAACTACACGCAGTTCAAATCCTTATCACAGTTTCAAACAGTCCATGAGCAATAGGCCAACCGCCTCCATGTAAAACGTTGACTCTACATATTTATATGTACGAAGAAGTTATGTATATATTTTAGATATAGCATGTAATTTATACCCTTGATAATACATTGTATTAATAAATGATATACATTATTAAGAAAGGAATTGCATGTGACAAGTTATTCTTAAAATACAGATTATAATACTAGAACCAGACTTTTTGAAATGCTTATCTGGCTTAAAGTTTTTCAAACTTTTACCAGTTCTTCGTTCTAATGAAAAATCTTACTTGTATACGGTACTGAAAGAAATTTGACAAAAAATGTTAGATGAAACCCAGAAGATTGTACTTTGTTGGAATCATTTTGGCCCTGAAAAGGGCCGATTGTTTTTCAATTCGAAATCCACTGCCTTAGCTATCCATGGATCTACGTTGAACTGAACAGTTTTGGCCTTGAAAAGGGCAAATTGTTCAGACTCCAATGCTTAAGCTCTTTCTCCACGGATACGACGAGCCAACTGGATATCCTTGGGCATGATGGTGACACGCTTGGCATGAATAGCGCACAAGTTAGTATCTTCAAACAACCCAACGAGGTAAGCTTCACTAGCTTCCTGTAAAGCCATAACAGCAGAGCTCTGGAAACGCAGATCGGTTTTGAAGTCCTGGGCGATTTCTCTGACTAGACGTTGGAAAGGCAGCTTCCTGATGAGAAGCTCCGTGCTCTTCTGATAACGACGAATTTCACGAAGAGCGACAGTTCCGGGCCTGTAGCGATGCGGTTTCTTCACTCCACCAGTTGCAGGCGCACTCTTACGAGCTGCTTTCGTAGCCAGTTGTTTCCGTGGAGCCTTTCCACCAGTCGATTTACGTGCAGTTTGTTTCGTACGAGCCATTGCGTATTCGTTAAAATATCACGGAGGTCGAACTGTTCACTTCAGAAAGCAGAACTGAATTGTGTTCTCGTGCCTCTAAAATCGCGCTTTTATGCGGTGGCTTCGTTGCAGCGAGACTGCGGTGTGGCGTGCCGCCAGAAATGGCTGGCTCCTATTGGCTGAGAGCGAAGTGGTGGGGGGCGTCAGGTCGGTGGGGGAGACTCGCCTGCATAATATAAAAGAAACATGTTCGGGTCGAAATCACATCAGTTGCCTTCTTTATTCGTAAGACTACGCATCTGCACTTAGCATCATGACTGGTCGTGGAAAGGGAGGAAAGGGATTGGGAAAAGGAGGTGCCAAACGCCATAGGAAAGTTCTACGTGATAACATCCAGGGCATCACAAAGCCTGCCATCCGTCGTCTAGCTCGTCGTGGCGGTGTCAAACGTATTTCTGGTTTGATCTATGAAGAAACTCGTGGTGTACTGAAGGTTTTCCTGGAAAATGTGATCCGTGATGCAGTAACGTACACTGAGCACGCCAAAAGGAAGACTGTGACCGCCATGGACGTTGTGTACGCCCTGAAGCGTCAAGGAAGAACCCTCTACGGTTTTGGAGGTTAAATTCCAACACCATTAACCATTTACAAAATCGGCCCTTTTCAGGGCCAACAAATTTTAACGAATGAACGCTCTGCTGTTTCACAATACATTGTTCCTTAGTAATCCAAATTTTAATACTTTCCTTAAAAAGATATTTTATAAGGATAATTTAAATTAGTTATTAGTCCGTAAGTCTAGAAAATATTAGACTATTATCTAACTCTACCTTAAACTTATTCACAACTTGTATTGGAATCCTTCAGTATGTTATCCTGTACCTGAAAATTCCATAGATACAACACCAAAAATTTGTGTAAGCTTACAAATTAAACTGGAAAGTTTATTGAGTAAATAATAACTAAAGGTGTACATCAAAAAATAGTCCCGGATAACGCGATTACAAAAATACTATGAATTATGGCAGTAACCATATTAGAAACTATTCAGTGAATACATAATATTAAGATACTCATCCATTAACCCCGTCAATGGCACAAATTAGAATCTTTTTACCTCTACAAGACCTACTTTGATATTGCCGCTTTTAAATTGCAAATTCTTTCATTTTTGACATTGCTATATTTCTATCCACAAGAAACATGAAACTGACCGTTCCTTTAAGTGTTTTCTAATGGCCGCCTAGCTGTCGTCCATGTGCGACTTAGGAAGGGAAATCAATAGAAGCTTGAGGGTACAAATTAGACCTCCGGGAACTGCGTCGAGCCGGAATCAAAGCTTTTGACAACCGTGACACACGAAGGCGCCTTTGCGGTCATACGTATTTTTATATAAAATATATTACGTACAATTTTAAATTTTTTGAAGCGTCTTACACTCTATGTTGAAAGTTTTGAATACTTTGTAGTCATTATAAAGTCGTACTGTTTGTTAAATGGCATGGTTAGTTGGGAAAGTTAGGCGCACGTTTTCATAGAGCAGCAAATAAAAACTCAACTTCTCAGATTTTAAAATTAAATCGATAAATCAGTCTGCCGTGAGTGTAGGAGGTACATAGAGTACTACACAATATACATACATATATAAAATGAGTTCATCATGTTCGATGCCGGTGACTCAGATCAGAGCCATAGTTTATATTGCTTTAATTTCAATCAATACTAAACTGACACTCAATGCGATTGTATGTTTATTGTGTATTTTAGTAGAAATGTCGGTTAATTACATGGTTATTTATTGTAGAAGTCGTGTAACTAGCCATATTCATATTGGCAGGAAACAGGTTAAAGAGTATTTATTAATAGGACATGTAAATACTAAATTAGTGTATTTACCATAAAAAGTTGAATGTTTTACTGAACCAGAATGTATCTAACGTTTGGACAAAATTTTTGGCCCTAAAAAGGGCCGATTCAAAATGAGGAGGCACAGTTTACTTTGAACTGGTGTACTTGGTGACTGCCTTAGTGCCTTCAGAGACTGCGTGCTTGGCCAATTCACCAGGCAACAGAAGCCTGACAGCAGTCTGGATTTCCCGAGATGTAATGGTAGACCTCTTGTTGTAATGAGCCAAACGAGAAGCTTCAGCAGCAATACGCTCGAAGACATCATTCACAAAACTGTTCATGATGCTCATAGCTTTGCTAGAGATTCCGGTATCAGGATGGACTTGTTTCAGCACCTTGTAGATGTAGATAGCGTAGCTTTCCTTCCTCTTCCTCTTCTTCTTTTTGTCAGTCTTGCTGATGTTCTTCTGGGCTTTTCCAGCCTTCTTCACAGCTTTTCCACTCGTCTTAGGAGGCATAATAACTTCTTTGAGAACGCAAAAGTTATATTCACTCTACGACAGTTCGTGGTTGAATGAGTCCTCGCCCAAAAACGGGCTGTATTTAAGTCATGGAGGGTAAGTTGGAGCGCACCAATCGCGTGCGACCTCACGATGGCGGCCATATGCCGCATTCCCGCCATTATGGTAGGTACGCACACGTTTGCTTCTGGTGGCGCCACCAGCACAGAAAAAGTACTGCAGATAATATTATACCTTTCTAACAATTTAAAAATATGTATCACTGTTTATTAAATGAATTGTTAATAAAATCCTACCTATTGCATGTATAGTGCTTTCAGATATTTTTATAGTTCTTATAGCTAAAGTATTTTAGACATCCTAGATACGTGTATATTAGAATGTAATTAATAACAAGGCAGTATGATCTACGATATATATATGTACATAAATTGCTTTTTTGGACGCTCAGTTTAAGTTGATGATAAATTGCGTACAGTAAATTGTGGAATTTGACGTCTGTTAGGGTCTCTAGTTGTATTGTAGTTAAGAATCGTTTTGTTTCAAAATTTTGCTTTTTCCAGATGAATATTGTAAAATCAGACATTAGTTTTTTTAATGCAATCACCTATTAATAATAGAACACGAAACTGCGTACGTTATCTCACTTTATGTGTATAATTTTTTGGACTAAAAGTAATAAGAACTCATTTTCTTTGACCTAGACTCTGTTTTTAAATTCCTATAAAAAGTCTTATTTGAAAGCATAAAACATGTGTAGGGACAATGTCGAAGCGAAATAATTATTCTGTCTACGAAATAAAATAATTAATCCTATATTTTATAGAAAGTATAAATGTTTTACAGACGTAACGTCATCAACGGTATAATCAAAATTATACATGTACATAAAATGAATTCCTGCATCACATTCGCTTAAAATCTTCTTTATCTGACTCCGAATATTGTCCTAAAAAGGGTCTGATTTACGAAACCCGGAAGGGTCGATCGCTTTCCCTTCGCCAAGTTTAACGTTGAAGACAGCTTGGCGACTGCTAGAACAGATTTCGTGAACGGCTAAAACTTCAAGTTTATTAAATATGTTTCTGTGTAACACAGAAACTGCTTCAGAAATGGATATTTTTAAGTTTAATTAGACATTTCAGATACACTACATTTGGTCTTGAATATACACTCATACGGTCTTTGAACTTCTTAGCGTCGGTATTTATCATTTCCGAGTCTTCGGATCAGATTACTTAGGGCGCTGAGATTTCGTAGCCTGGTCACAAGCACATTGAATATCTTATTTTCCGATGCAGTTGTGTTTCCAGAGCTTATCTTATTCTTTATTGCCAACAACAGTCGATAAATAAACTAGTAAAAACTTCCGAACAAGGACATTAACAGACGAGTCTCCATGCAATGAATATTAATAACTAAAAATTACAAAGAAAATACTTATTTTCGTGTATAAAATAATGATTATGACAATGACAAAAATTGAGAAATTAGAAACTATGAGTACTTTTAGAAAGATTCGATGGGGCAGATTTTTATTAATTTTGATGTAGTAAGTATGTCTCCTAAAAGAGAAAGTCTTTCGTTCGTATAGCTTTTCTACAGAACGAACAGCTGCAGACCACGTGAAAGAGACAAACATGCTGTCAATAACGTGAATATCGTTCCCGCCAATTTCTACGCTACGCTCTGACTAGACGGGTCACTTCAGTTTACACATGTTATTTCTTCTTTTGAATGGCTTCATTATTTACATTCGGGTAATATAATTCCTAGTGTAGTCGAGTTAACTAATAGTACATATGTATTGATTGTGTTTGTTGGGTGTCAGTTGATTGTAAGACGACATTGGATTGTTTTTGTCGCATGGTCACAGAAGCGTTCATTTTTTTCACAACCACATTCAGAATGATAATAGTATATTATTACTTTTGACTCCTCATTATTTCTCAAAATATACGCTTTCTGCATTAAAAATATGGCGGTTTCTTGATGAACAGATGGACGTCACCGTGAGTGGTGGCGCACCAAACTCAACTCGTAATCTGATTGGTCGAGCGCCCGCTCTCCCTCGAACGTATAAGAAGCGAAATTTCCTAGCCAGGAGCATCATTCTTCGTGACGGACGGACAGTACGTACTTCGACTCTTGTTGCATCGTTCGATTCTGACGATTGTTTTTTCTCGAGTAGCTTTGTTATTTCTTTGCTGATTCACATAATTGTGTTTCAGTTTCATTTTCTCTAGTAGTGGAGCGGGTCTGATATAGTTTATTTGTGAATAGTGTCTTGTAGATAGAACAAAACATTTTCAAGTTTCGACTGTCTCTTTATTAAGCGCGTCTCTTTATACAATAGCATATTGTATTTATTCATACGTTTGCTCGCGCAATTGAAACCTGACTATTGAGTTGGTAAGTCCGAACACAGATCTTCAATCGATTATCATACGGGATCTCAAAATGCAGTCGTCGCTGCGCCATACTCTATCGGGAGTGTTTTCCTATTCAGGCGCTACTCTTCCGACATCAATTACAACATTTTCGCAAAAAGCTTGCTGTAAACATTATTCTATTGGATATTTGATACAGTATATGTTCATATTTTATATTCCAACAATTTAAAAATTAATTGCCTTAATCATTCGACCATTTTGACTACGCTTCCTGTTACATGGCGTCCATATGTGCGTGAGCGTATAACTTATCTTTTGAAAATAGTTCACCGAACATGAATCGAAACCTTAAAAGAAATGTTGATTTTTTTTTTTTTTTAATTATTTTATGCAAGTAATTTCACCTGAATTTATTTTTGTTTCTCTAGGTAGAGGGCGCACTGCACTGTGGTACGAGAAGCCCCCACTCCAAAAAGCCAACTGCAAATATTCCGCATAGAGCGTCATCTGTGAACGACTTGTAAAGCTGTGACATTACTGGACCGCCATTGTTAACATGGAAGACAAGACAAGCTCTGGAAACGCAGCTGCATCGGACAATGTGTCCAATGCGCCTGCGAAAAAGACCGCGAAATCGAAGGCGAAATCTGAGCGTCCTAAATCATCTCATCCACCAACTTCAGAGATGGTAAACGCCGCCATTAAGGAGCTGAAGGATCGCAAGGGATCGTCGCTTCAGGCCATCAAAAAGTATATCGCATCAACGTACAAGGTTGATGGCGAAAAACTAGCACCGTTCATCAAGAGGTACTTGAAATCAGCTGTTACTACCGGCGCTGTTGTTCAGACGAAAGGAAAGGGCGCTTCGGGTTCGTTCAAGCTCTCTGCGCCTAAAGGTTCAGAGTCCAAAAGTAAACCAAAGCGCGAGGTGAGGAAGACCGAATCTACGGCTGGAGCGGAAAAGAAGTCTGCTGAGAAGAAGCCTGCCAGCCAGAAGAAAACAGTCGCCGTAAAGAAGCCAGTTGCAGCCAAGAAACCTGCGGTGGTGAAGAAGCCAGCATCGCCGAAGAAAGTTAAGACTCCCGCTGCGAAGAAAGCAGAGGCAGCAGCAGCTAAACAAAAGGCAGTACAGACGAAAAATCTGTCCAAAACGAAGAAGGCGTCCAAGGCTCCAGCGGCTAAGACTAGAACGCCAAAGCCTAAGACTTCAAAGTCACCAAAAGCCAAGGCAGCAGCAAAGAAATAATTATTTGACCACAAATGAAATACCATTGGCCCTTATCAGGGCCACAAACTCTTTAATGAAGGAATGTTCTCGAGTTTTTACTCGCAATGACTATATCCCTATTCCTTTTTAATAAACTTAAACCTCCCAAACTGTTACCTCAAGTTAAAAACATTCTCATAAGAATGCTTTTGTATAAAATCTAGTCCTGTTATATTTATGTATTGTTTACGAGAATACTTATTTTATAATTATACACCTTTTTTTATGCAAGCTCGAGTCCAGAAATTTGTATCTGTATGTATATATATATATAACAACCACAAAAGTGGTTGATTGAAGCATGGTAATATTAATCGTAGGTATAGGAATTTTTGCATCAACATTGCTGTTTGCACATAACCTGCACGTAGCATGTTAGTGATAGATTGATATGCATTTGCAAGATACTCCCTTGAACTTTCGAAAAGACTAATGATTCAAATACTTGTGGAAAACCGCAGGAACTATGTGGGCAATAATAGATATAAATACCTGGATAGCCGTCTTACCATTCTATGAAACTGGATTTTTTTACCGTCTTTTTAGATGTTTCCTAACGGTCAATTGTCCGTCACCGTGGGATTTCGCAAAGGGAAAGCCATCAGCACTCTTCAGTGTATCATAAATTAAACCTTTCTGGAGCTGCGTTGGGGCTATGATGAATTAATGAACGTTTCAGATTTTTTTAAAAATATACTACGAACTATTTCATGTGTTCCTCCATGGTGTTTTTTCAATTCACTTATTTTCCATGAGCACATTCATGTTAGAAGTATACTTTTTTTATGTACACTTTTGGTCTATTTTTTGCCGTAGTATAGTTTTAATAGTTTTTGTTGAAGTATAAACACCCTCAACATATGAAACAACATATTTTTAATGCTTTATACGTCAAATTTATAGTTTGAATAATTTTACAAACAGATAAACAAAATAAGAAAGACTATTCCTTCACACTGTATTAGGATGAAAGATAGAATTAAGAATCAGACTTTCAAATGAATCAATTGTTATAAAATAATTAGCAAGGCGTAGTTATTGCTTTAATGAAACATTACCTTCAGAATCGAGAAAAAAGTACATTTATTACAGTATACAAATTCTGTATGTTAGGTTATTTTGTCAATTCGGATTCAATATGTTGTTTTTGTATAATAACGGTAGTGCTTTAGTTTACATGCTATGTATGATATTATTGTAAACATTTTCAATGAACATACGTAAAATGTAAATCAAGAATGGTCTTACAACGGTCTTAAAATATATTGAAAGTTTTTGAAAACTTGCTCACGATGCAGTCTTGGCAAAAGAGGCATTATGGAAGCTTAAAGTATCTATCGCATTCATCGTTCACAGACCCGTGATGACGAAATTCAATAATTTATTTATTGATAAACTTAAATCTATCATATGTTTTTGCTCGCAAAAACAGCCTTCGTATAGCACGAGAGAAGGCCAGAATAATATCAAAAACTGAAGTTGTAAAATAAAGTGAGAACAGTGGTATAGTGGATAGTTATTCCATGTTCATATTTTACTCCACCATGAGCCTATTACTTTTGGTGGGCGTGTGACTTGCCTAACTTCGACGCTATTTTTTACATTAGCGGGAACATAAAAAATTATATGAAATATACTTATCACTATGTATAAAAAAATAACTATCTAGTAGAGAGTAATGAAATAAAAACCTTGTAAATCAGAAATTATAGGTACTTTTATGAACAATTTATAGGTTATATTATAATATAAATTAATACTTTAACTCTCTGTGTGGTAATTAATGATTAAGTACAGGTTTTTATTCTTTCGAAATAACATATGTCCCAGAACAGAAAGTCTTTTATTCTCGTAGCGTTTTTTCAAAAAGAACAGCTGCAAACCACGTTAAGAGGACAAACACGTTTACCTGGATATCTTTCCCGCCAATTTTTACGATGTGCTCCGACTTTGGTTAAATTCCTCTAGTATATACATCTTGTTTCTTATCCATAATGACGTCGTCGATTACATTTGCATATTGCAATAGTCACCAGACTATTACTACGTTTTTAATATTTTTTTTATTTGTTTAAGTTTCAATTGTATTTAGTGTGACGTTCGAATTATTTTTTCATATAGTCACAAGGACGTGAATTTTTTTTTTATTGCTTTACTCAAAACCATAATGATACATTATTAATTATCAATTCAACATTTTTTTTATGTTTTTCATTGCATATGCTTTCTACCTCAAAACAATATGGCGGATCCTCGTTGAGCACATGTCTGAATCCACAGCGACGGCGCACCAATCGCATGCTAGCAGTCTAACTCGGTACGTGATTGGCGGAGCGCGCTCCCCTCTCAAAACGTATAAAAGGCGAAATTTCCTGGTCGGAAGCATCATTCTTCGCTTGTACCACAAGGGAGAAACATTGAAGTTCTTTTCGTTTCGTTCAACTTTGCATTAAAAACATGTCTGGACGTGGAAAAGGTGGTAAAATAAAGGGAAAGGCAAAGTCCCGCTCTAACAGAGCTGGTCTGCAGTTCCCTGTTGGACGTATCCACAGACTGCTCCGAAAAGGAAATTACGCTGAACGCGTTGGTGCTGGGGCTCCTGTCTATTTGGCAGCAGTCATGGAATACTTGGCCGCTGAAGTTCTGGAATTGGCGGGTAACGCTGCCCGTGACAACAAGAAGACTAGGATTATTCCTAGACACTTGCAATTGGCCATCAGGAATGACGAGGAGTTAAACAAACTGCTTTCTGGAGTCACCATCGCCCAGGGTGGTGTTCTGCCTAACATCCAAGCTGTTCTTTTGCCCAAGAAGACCGAAAAGAAGGCATAAAGTGCTCTGTATAGATCCGCACACTCATAACGGCCCTTTTTAGGGCCAACAAATTTATAATGAAGGATAACTCTAGTCAAGTAACATTTAAAAATCATCCTATCTTGTTATAGGTTCTCAGCTTATTGAGCAACTTAATTTCCCCATACCTTCCTTCTGACTTTTATTATCGAACTGTAAAAAGACTGTTCTTTAATAAAATTTCAATTAAGCAATAGCATTCTACTCATTTTGAGTTAGAATCTACCAACATACTGTTCGGAACCTTATTTTATTTTGTGGTACAAAAACCTACTTATTCATTGCTGTAACTTCAAAAAATTGTAGATACATAATTGTGGAATTGCCAAGAACATGTGAGAAGGTAAAGCAAGACATATTTATTTATCTAGAAACTAGCATCTGTGATTCATCGTTGTTACATCATTATTTTGATACATAGTTATTTATTCCAACGTTTATTTGCATTTGGTAAGACAACTCGATGGTTAACCGTGCATTGGTACAGCAGTATTTGCTCATAAGGTAAACACAGTTTGATCGGAGCTTCGGATATTGTTTAACAACGGCGCTGGTGCATACATTTCAGTTGCATTAAATGTATTTAAAAACCAAATTGCCACTCAACACTGCTTCAGTGCGAGTGCATTGAACCTCATTTGACGCACAGCACGCAAGGCGACGCTGTGCGCAGTTACCAGACTCGATATAAAATTGTATTAAATGAGTCACAGGTCTTGCCAAATGAGTCGCGCATGGCTGAAACGGTTTTCAACAATATTCCATTGTTTTTCTCAAGGTGCAGGGTTTGCCCCGGCTAAAGGGATGTAACGGAACTAAAAAATGCTGGGCCTGCTGGGGGACTGAAAGGCCTATCCCTTTTTTTTCTACACAATGGAGCTAACTGCGTCTTGCAGGTCAACCCAAGTGGGGCCACAGACGAGATATAAGAATTGGACACCATGATGACGCACAGCACACGCACACTCGAAAATATTAAATATTTGTTATTTTATTTAAATGATTGCAATTACGTTTTGTGCATAAGTTTCGAACAAATGTTTTAGACAGTATTCAATTTTTCAATCGGCAATAAAAATTCGAAAATAACCTGTACACAATTAATGCTCCAAAAAATGCAAGTTTGAAAGTTTCACGATGAAAACAGACGCGTACGCATTCTTTACCCGCTGACCCAATACAGTATCCCCGTTATATGGCTTCAATGGCGAACCTTTTTGCAAGCACAACGTGAGACGAAAGGAGAGCCAACGGGTACAGAGAGGAGGCTGAAAGAAAGGTTGAAGAAGGTCGACGCTGGAACCCGTCAATGCCATCGAGATTCGACTGAAGATCGGCTATAGGTGCGAGGATCGGTCGCCAGTAATCACGTCCTCTGTTCGACGCCGACGAGGCATTTACCAGGTGACTCAATCGACGTAACTCGGTCTCGAAGCGCCGAAAGAAAGGGAAAGTACTCGGGACATCGAAACATGGGAGCCGGCCGTGCGCGCGTCAGTCCGCGGAAAGCGACTGGACGCACACGAGAAACGATCCTACACACGTGTTCAACTATCATTGTCGGTGGTGGAGGACTCGCGGAAATCGTGAACGAGACACATATCGTGTCGTAGTGCAGACCCGGCTGATAGTCGTCCGTTTGAATCCTCGAGAGATCGAGGGCGTCAACGGTCGGTTCTGTGATGTGGATTGTGCCTGACCGAGGAAAGGTACGCATGATCGACGAACATCATGTTTTTGCTAGTGGTCTCCGGTTTTCGTGGACGTTCTATTCTTTTAGAACAGATTTGGGCACAATTTTATTCGCATAATACATAGGGAAATAGCAGTATCTAAGATTGTGTTCCTGACCTTTCAAAACAGTTAATAAGGCAAAAAAATTGCCTGTTAAGTGTGCAACTCATTCAAGAAAAAATATTCTATTATGAAAATTGGAATTTACACGTTTAATCGATTAGAAGTGAAGTATTTTTCTTATCTTTTCTTCGTTATTCGAAATTATTCATTTAGGTAATGAATTTGCCCATCTCTGTTTTGGAAAGATCGAACGATGCTTTAGGATTGTTGACTTGGTGATCGGTGGATTGGTGACACTCGACGATTTTGTGGTGTCAATGATTCTCGGTGAAGTTCGGTGGAATTTGACTTGTATCGGAACGGTTCTATACGAGAGTCCGTTCTATTGTTTACCCAGTTTTCAACTGGATCGAAAGTCCCTTTGGAATCACCGAGTCAACGTGTGGTAGACATTGAAAGATCGCAGCGAACTTAGTTCGCATTTCGTTGCGTATGTATTGAGCCCGTGAATTTTTTACGGGTACAAGGACATCGCGGGTACCGGAGAACGGATCGAAATTCTCCTTCGTTCACTGACTAGCAAGAACTCTTTCACTTTGACCCAGAAACACCGGAGTGAATTAATAAATTCGCGCGCGATTTTTATTATTCAAAGATGCAATTTCTTTGTGAGGTGTCGGGGACCTCGGTGTTTCCCGCCATCTTATAACACCCACGTAGAGTACAATAGAACATACAGGAAGAGAAACCGGTTGTCGAAATTATGTATAACGTGGCAGGTATAACTCAAAGATATATACCTGAATATTCCAACGAACTAAACTATAGACAAAATTCCAACAATGGTTTATAAAATAAATAAATGAATGTCAAACCGTTAGATACCACGAGCACAATACTTACAGTTCATAAAGCATCTGTTCTCGATTTACTTCTGTGAAAAGTTCAACTGTATTTATCAGCTTCAATTGATTCAGGTAAAAATTTAGAGAACCGAATACTGTGCTCTGTATTATAACGAAGATATCAGAGCGCGAATAGTTTTTGTTCCGAAGCAATAAAAGAATACATACAGTTGGTTACAAAAGTATTCAGCCACCTAAGTGATTTTTCCGTGGAATTGTAACTAGGTTTTGACACAGTTTTTTTATTTGCAAACTTACTTACACTTGCACACGAAATTCGCTCAATGCCTAAGATGAACCGTATGCACGATTAGGCTTAAATGTGGGGTTCCGTTGACCCTCACATTTTGCGCGTTCAATTGCAATTTTCTGCGTTGCATAATACCTTTATCTAACAATAATAATAGCAGTAATCTGCGCAAAGATTATTAAGCTGCAAAAAGGAAAGGAAAAACGTGTATAAAAACGGTCACGGGATCTCGATCCTCCTCGTGGTGTTTTTCCTCCCGTGGCGTTTCATTAATGGCCGTCTGTGCTCCGTAATCGGGTATACCTGCGATCGACGCCGGATAATGGTATTATGCTACGATTACGCAATTGCGAAAATTTCACTTTCCGCGGTGCGATCGCGGTCACCGTGTACACGATCAAACGCGTATGCACCTGGGATTGTGGGCGCGACACACGCGCGCAGCTGTATTACATACCGGTCGATAATTTTTATCGCATGACCGTTGCTCTCGTATTCGACGCCCAGCCAGTCACTTTTCGATACGTTTTTTTTCCCCCACCTTAACCTCGTGTGGCTCTCATCGTTAGCCCTCAACCGGTCTCTTTCTCCCTCTCTGTCTCCAGAGACGAACGTACTTACTCGTACAAGGACGACAGCGTGCTTTCATCCGAGCGAGGGTTTCCTTGAACATTGGACCCAATTTTTGGAACGGGAGATTAATATCGCGCCTCTCGTTAGATTTTCAGGTTATAAAACGTACGAAATAGTTTCTTAGTCGTTCCGAAGTATTCTGTGGTCTCGACGTTCAATCGTCTGTTATTCATTAGATCGATGAATCTTAAAAAATTGAAATTTATTCTAAATAAAATTGAATAACACTTAATCATAACGAAGGCTTGTCAGCAGATATGTTATGGGTAACGTTCATTTCAACAATGCCTCCTTATATTTTAATAATAGTGGTCCGATTTACTTCTACATTTAGTACGATTTATAATTATTTCAAAAAGGAAACAGTGCACAAAATTGAATTCAATTATTTCTTTACATAAACGGACGGTTTAGAACGGGGCCCTTCTGGTCAAAATTGGACCCAGTACTGCACCACCCTTAGCCCCTCCCCTCTTAATCCGGCGTTGTTCAGGAAATTAGGCAATTCCGAGTGCAAAGGGTAAGAATGCATGAAAAACTACGTAAACTGACGCCCAGGTCACATCAGACGGAAAAACATCGGATGATATTTGCCGTAAGAAGCAATCAATGCAGGGTTACACAATTGTTACAAAGGAGCCGGTGGCTCGGTTGCGCAATCGAGCGACCGGTAAAGTAGCTCAGTAGCGTGTATGGCCATATGTTTGTGTGTGTGTTGTTCCATTATATCGAGTCTCTTTCTGCTTTGCGTTAGAAAACTGTGACTACCTGAAAACGAACGGGCTCGATTTATCCATAATCGTGGTCTGCACGCGGTTCGCTGCGCAACACATCCGACGTCGATTATTTCGCATATTGTACGGAAGACTGGTTCACCTTTCCTCGGTGAAGTCGCTGGAATGATGCAACCGGTGTATGAAGTATCCTTGAAATCGGTGGCAAACACGAAACGCGGTTACGCGACGAGAGAAAATTAGACGGTTGCTATTCTAATTGACGAGGGATGGAGGAGAAGTCTTGAGCCATCTGATTTCGGTGGCATAATAGTCTAAAAGTGTCCTCGATGTCACGTAGCGACGGGCTCAAGCGGTATTACGTTGTTGCGTAAATGCTGTCAGCTTCTTATTCGATGAGTCCAAAGAATCTCAGAGAGCGAACCGCTGAAAGGTATGCGGAGGAATTGCAAATACAAATGTTGCTGAAGTTGGAGGATGCTCGGGAGGAAGAATAATTTATAAACGTTTACGGACAGAGATTTCAGTGTATTCGATGGAAGTCAGGTAGTACAGTGAGGCTTAAACATTTATACAGATGATAATTGTTTCTGCAATAAAGACAGAAATTAGAAATATTGATTCATTAAGATTATCATTTTGTAGGTTCCAACGGTTATGTCTATTGTTCCTGGAAGGTAACACGGTCAGGTAATCGAGTCGTTATGTCTAGAGGTAGT